TAATAAATAAAGTGTTTTTCTGCATGGGTTTAAGCATGAAAATCTGGAATTTGGAGGTATTTGAACAAATGAATATTTTTTTTGCAGTGTTTGGGAAATCTGAAGGATTAAATTCCTCCTCATGTTCACTCTCAGGATTGCAAATGGAATGTAATTTGCAGACATAAACATAATTCTCAGTAAGTAGTAGCAAAGTAATGCAAAGTTCTCAGGAAGATCCTGTCTCTTCTAAGTTTCAAAGCCTTTCTGACTTTTGGGTTAGATAAAGGGCTAATCAATAGTTCTGCTCTGGGAATTCAATGCCTTGCTGAACTTGGATCTCTGGCAATTTTGTCTTTCTCAAGATGCACTCTTCTATCTGGATTTTGTTCACTGGAGTAATATCTTTTCCCCAGTACCTGTGCAATAGTCTTTTCTTTCCAGCTAGCTCTCCATTCAACCTTTGCCTGGAGCCTTGTGTGTTGTGAGCCTCACTGGGGTGAAACAGAAAGTGACTGAAAAGCTATCCAGTGTTCCCTTTCTTCTGCCATATCCACATATCACTCCAGTACCCACATGAAAGCTTATTGCAAAAGTGAATGTTCCATTTATGTCATTGCATAACGTGGACACTGTGTATTTCTATTTTATGCACCTGGTACAATAGGACAAGTGTCTCCTATCATCCCAAATTGGTAAAAACATGGTTTTCTCTCAGATATCTCTCCCGAGTTGTGTGTCTTTCTTATCTATGTGTCTAAATGCATGCTTTGCTGAATGGATCCAACAGTAGAGATTATTTGTTTCTGGGTCATATCTATGTTCCTATCACATTTTGCCAGCATCAATCCCCTTTCTTTAAAAAAAAAAAGAATTGCGATAATACTGATAATACCATTCAAGGTAACTGAGTATCTCCTTCCATGAGCTTTTCCTCATCTGTCAATTTAGATAATGCCCTGTATCAATTTTCATAACTGGGGCACATGGTACAACAAGGTAAGCAGGGCAAAATCAAAGCTCCATACACCATATAAAAAGAAATACAAAAACACTGGCACCATCATGACCTGGTGCTCAAAGATGGCAACTCAGAGTTGAGCATGATGCTTCTCTATAATGCTCAGTGTAGAGCAGTTTTCTGGTTCAGTAGAACCAGCTTGCCAAGAGAGGTCATGTGCTTTCCCACATGAAAGACATTCAAGAAGAAGCTGGACAGTTATTTGAGTGGGATGGGGTAACTGGCATCCTACACCAGAAGAGAGTTGAACCTGATGGTCTTCTTGGCCACTTCTGACCCTACTATTCTATGATTTTTTTTTCTCTTATGGAACTTGTTGATGGAGTCAAGTAGTTATATATCAAAATAGGAGATAAGCTGCATTAAATGTCATGGAAAGAAAAAGAATAACAAAACCAGGCTGCCAATTTGAGTGGCAACCACACATGTGTATTCAATAAGTGTACACAGTCTGACAGAAAAAGTAATCTACATGCATAGGGTAAGAGATAAATCAATGTTTATCTTCATTTCTCTTACCTTTCTGTACCATTGAATAGCCAAGCTTTCTGAGCAATTCACAAAAACAGAATATAATATTACAAAATACAAAGCAGAGTAAAATGAAATACAAAAACCTTAAATTTAAAACAGAGTAAAACAAAAGTAAAAGCCTAGGTAAAATGGAGTAGCAGTAACTTTAGAAACTGGACAGTGTATCAAGGACAGCAATTACTTTATGTTTGTAATTGTACAAAGTAAGATTCATATGTTGACCTTGACTATCTCATAATACAGGAGTGAATCCAAAAAGGGGATGACATGAAACAGCCTAAGAGTCGAGTGGAAAGGTTTTGATCCAGATGAGATCAGTTTAAAGCAAGAGCAATCACAAGTCGACAATTGTCAAAGCACAGTTGTACTGGGTAAATAGGTGTTTTCCTGGAAAGAGGCCTGAGCTGCAGCTGAGGGCAAAACATAGTGTTCTGATCTATCCATACAGTGCTCTTCCAGCTGCCCTTGGAAAACCGAAAAGTACAGCATGAATGCAATAGTATCTTTCCACCCAATTTCAGCAGCAATTGGTGTTCCTAGACACATGCTTTTACTGGAGGGAGTATATTGCCAGTGGGACTAGTAGCTTTCTCCTCCATGAATGTTTCCTATTTTAAAGCAATCCAGATTGTGGTCTCTCCTCTGAGCAGTTTGAAGCAATCCTTCCTGTTATCCCTTCTGAATCTTCTGCCATGGGATGACTCTGTGTTCTAGAATTATGAGAGAGGAAGAAAGAAGAGTCCTTATACATTTTCTCCATTTCATGCATAATTTTGTACACCTCTGTACACCTCTGCCTTACTTGTCTTCTGAATAATTCCGCTAGAGCTATCTGATAAGCAAAGCCTATTTGAAGCAGAAAGGTGTTTATCTGCTTCGGCCTATGCACAGTTTTGAAATAAAATACTTTGTGGTATTTGAATGAGAAAAAGCAATCTAACTCAGAAACCCAACTGTGACTAGATTAGGTTTTCCCTCTCAAATTGAGATGTGGATTAAGTTAGTAGAGATCAATACTACTGAAAATGAGATAATCCTACTGAGAAAAATCAGACTTCTAAAAAGCAATTTAAGGATAAAATTGGGAGATTGTTCTGAGGGTAGATTATGAAAGAATACAATAGGCAAAGCTATTACTAGTTATGCCGTATTTTTAAAAATCCTTTTAGTGATGTTATAGAGAGAAAATATATACACGGAACTGTGCTAGCTGTAGAATGAAGTAATTTTGAGAAAAGAGACGGCTGCATCGTAGAGATTCTGTAGTCTATGTTCATAAACCAATTAAGAAATTGTATTTGCATTTATTTGATTGACTTCTGTGGGCAGAGCATCACTTGCTGTCTTGAAGTAAATTACCCTGAAAAGCAACATACTTTTGGAATGAAAAGAATCTTATTCCCTCATTGGAAGCAAAGGTCAGATTGCATTGACATAAAAGTATATACTTGAGGTATATGCCCAAATGAGGTCACAAATGAGGTAGAAATGAATACTGTCAGATCGGGGATGTCTTTAGGTTGTAATATATGCTGTTGCATTCTCTGTGATAGGCATCCATATTTACAAGATTGCACCATGTGATTTAAGGTAAGGTTTGCTAAACCTCCAACATGCATTGACTGAACATATCAAGGACTCAGGCTTCACAGGTGAAGTCCTGCTACCAAGGCACATCCAAGTCAGACACTGTTGAGAATTAAAGGGACAGTTCTTGGAGCTCATTTCAGGTCCCAGGTGACACACACTTATTGGATGAGAATTGTGATGTCTGGGAAACCAAGTCTGTGGGCATAGAGATGGTGGAGGACAGACAGCTTATGTCAAGACTGCAGTTTGCAGCTGTTCAGGCAGATCTGGAAGTGCTGGCAGGGGACACAGGAGAAGAACCAGAGGAGGCTGGTCTGATTGTTGACCCCATGACACAGCATCAGAAGAGAAGAACTAGCCAACTAAAGGGCCTACATACAGCAAGGAGGCTTGCCCATCTGGAGGAAGGATGGGGTCCAGGATTACTCAAAAGGAGACTTCTTGGAAATAGTTTCTAGATTGGGTTGAACAAACCACTCTGTGTCTATTCAGAGTTGCATTCTTTGCTGGGTATAGTTTGCTGGTTATACATTGGAATTGAAGCACTTTTCCCAAAGAGCTGTCTGTTGTTTGAAAGAGCGAAGGAGAAGGAACCTAGCTCCTGCAGATATTTGGCAGCAGTATGAAGCAGCCATACCTTCATCCTTACATACGTATAAAGAGCTTCTCCCTGTAAAATGGGATCCTGGTCCCATCAAGAAGAGTTCTGGACACATACGTATATTATGCATGGGGAGCCCCTTTACTTGGCCATTGAATACTTGGCTAGCAGGAGACATAGTCTGCAAGCAGGAGCAGGATCGTCTGCTTTCCATGTGGTGCCATTCCATAATGGGCATTCTTGCCATGAAACCGTCACAGGGTAAGAAATGGTAGGTGTCATGCCTGCGGGATGGAGAAATCACCAACATGATATTTCACAGCTGGCTGGAAAATACTAGAGAAGGCAGGATGTATTTCTGTCTTGGCATGCATACAGTTTCCCCTTAATTACATAGCTCAGGTAATGTATGTGCAACTTCTACAGCAATGGAAGCAAAGAAGATAGTGCTGGCTTCCTTTCAAATGTCTGCTGGAATCTAAATTTCAGCCATGGTGAAGGCAAGGAAAGGCTGTGGCGGAGGGAGATGAAGAAGCACCCATAATGACCACAGAACGGAAGGGAGATGCAATGAGTTGATCATGCCTAGTGCCTACTTGGTGGCTGATCCTGCAGAGTGAGCAGATCATACTTCTAATAAATATTTTATCCACAATTTAATTTGTTCTCATCACACATTTTGATATTCAGGGAGGAACCACAGTTATTTTCTCACCCAGGAATGGGATGATGGAGACACAGCTGAGAAGCAGAAACTTAGACGCAGTTATGTTCTATATGTACTATATATTTTCTTTATAAATCTCAGACACTGTGATAAGAATAATTCATTAAATGTCTGGTCAACTCATCCTGCCGGATCAGTCCCTGCTTGGAGCAGATTTCCATAAACTTTAGAGACTCAATAGAGACTTGGAAATGATCTGCTCATTGCATCTCCCCATCCCTTCCTTAGTTTACTTTAAGTGTTACTTAATTTCCTCCCACCACATCCTTCTCCGTGGATGGAATTTAAGTTTCAACAAGAACTTGAAAGGAGGAGGCACAAAGCTTTTCCCTCTTATATTTCTGTGGAAAATGCATGTACAATAAATATTATGAAATTGATATTTTTATTTTCATTATCATTTCTTAAATTTTGTCCCATGTGATTTCTCCATACCTGAGTACAAGTATAGCAGGCCATTCTGGAAATAATGTAGAATACTTCTGAGGCTAAGTCCAGCTTCTGGCATTCATGTCTAAAATCAAATTATTTTGTTTCTTTTGTTGCAGATCATGTTGTCTGTGAGGAGGAATTCAAATATGCAATGTTAGCATTAAACTGCATTTGCCCAGCAACCTCTACACTCATCACCTTGTTAGTTCATACCTCAAGAGGGCAGTAAGTACAAATCCTTGATGGAGGGATGTGGAAGTGATCAATCACAATCTGTCTTCTTTGTGCCTGTGGAACAAGAACACTGCACTCCCATGAGCAACCAACTTCTTCCATATTTTCAGGTGGTTTCTTACCTTCAGGAAAGTTCTGATATAAGAACATAAGAACATCGGAGAAGCCATGCTGGATCAGACGAAAGTCCATGTAGCCCAGCAGTCCATACACATGTTCATAGGATCCCTCAAGCGGGATGGGTGCAAGACCTCCTTCCTGCCCAAGCTCCTCAGCAATTGCTGTATGCAGGCCTGCCCCCTCTGGTAAAGGAGGTAGCGGCCAGCAAGACTAGCAGTTACTGATAGCCTGCTCCCTCATTAATCTTTCAAATCCCTTTTTAAAGCCTCCCAGAATGGCAACCATCACTACTTCTCATGGCAATGAATTCCATAGTGACTATACACTGTGTGAAGGAATAATTTACTGACCTTATCTGTTCAGTTTCTTTCCTTAAGGAGCACATTTGGCTGCTCGTTCATTACAAAGATGCTTTTAGCTATTGCTTTCTCCTGCGTGATCCTCCCTGTTTCGGAGTTTTGGAGATGCTGCTTGTGCCTCTTTCCTTGGAGGTGGGATGAACAAAAGAAATGCAAAAAATGGCCTTTTCTGTTTTAGCATCCACTTTATGAAGTGCTCTTCCTACAGAGGCCCACCAGAAACTGCCTTCACTTCTTTATTTAAATCACTATATTCAATTTCTTTCCTTTCACTAATTTATGGTCAAAAGTTGAATATATTGAGAATCTCTTTGGAAGGAAATTCTCATACTCAAAGGCTTGGGGCACACATAATTACAACAATATTACAACATAATATTGTTGTAAGCCGCCCCAAGGCTTCGGCGAATGGGGCAGCATAAAAATATTTTAATAAATAAATAAATGAAGCCAAGTTTGACTGGATCTGAGAGACCAGAAGCAGGCAATGAGATTGTCCCATCCCTCAATCAAAGGTAAAGGTGGGAGTGGGAATTTATACTAAAGAGGGGGGTGTTTCTGGGAAGGACTGCAGCTCATGACCTCTTAACCACCTCCTGACATGGCAGGTGTTATACCTCAACATTCTGAACAAAAATGGAACATTTTAAGCAAAGCAGATTATAATAAGGGATAGGTTTCTCATTGCAGCATCTAAGAAATCTGGTGGCATCCTTTGATAGCCTGGACCTAATCTATGGGCAGAATCCAAGAGTGCTGCTGCACTCATGCACATTCCTTAAGGTGTACCAGTAGGTCGGAACATCTATGCAAGAAAAAGTTAATGGTGGATGAGAGATGAGAGGAATGGGTTAGCTGAGGAATCAGTAGAGCAGAATTCTTCAAGCTCCATGACCTGCCCCATTCTATCCAGATCTTAGTGTTTCCTCTCACTTCTGATTATTCTTTCGATTTTTATCTTCCCATCATGCTAGCAGTGGGTCCCACTGGTGAATCAAATTGCATATATCTTTATGCAAGGTTATTACCAGTTTCCCCCTTAAATCTATAAAAATAGGTTTGCTTGCTTGTTCTCTCTCTCTCTCTCCCTCTCCCTCTCCCTGTCTCTCTCTGTCTGCCTTGTGTGTGATGGGCTTCCAGCTTCTTTAAAAGCTGCAAGACAAGGAAACATATTAACTGCTGCATCTTTTTCCATCAAAGATATGCTGGGAGGGGGAATATTCTGCTGACAGATTTCCAGCAGTCATGCAGCTTTCCAAGGCAAGGGAACCTGGCAGGAGAAAAGTGGCAACCTATGTCAAAGAATTCCTTTGATTCTATTTCTGCCTAAGAATTGCATTAAGCTGTTAAGTCCAGTGTTGAGGCAAATGCTGTCTCTATTTAAGGAAATGACAAAGTTGCATGGAAGTAGCTGTATAAGTAGGAATAAAATGCCGACATTTACCCACAGGGCTGCTTAGCCTTTTGTATGGCAATTGAGTATTCCCCAAGGTGGACAAAACTCACAATGCACTGAGGCAGGCAAATGTCAAGCTATTAATGGTGCCCATTTCGCTGGCACCTGCTAAGAGAAACAAAATGGAAAACAGCTCTGCCTGCCAGCTGAGAACGAGGAAGGAAAAAAGGCAGCTTCATTAACATGAATATGCCCAGTCAAGTGAAGGAAGAATTCTGAGCCCTCGAAAATCTAGCAATTTTCTTTAATAAATGGATATTAATTAACATAAGATCGAAACAATGTTGTTTTGTCATTTGAAAAACTATTGAATATTAGTTTGTAATCACGGTCCCTTCCCCCACAGTCTCTTCCTCCACCTCTTATAAAATGTTGTAAAATGAAAAGGGAAGAGAGCAGATGGAGAGAAAATAAAATGCCTTATAACAGCAGACAAACTATTCCACCTCAACAGTTCCATGCATGATTTTGTATTCTGAACAGAAGCAGACTATGGGGGAGGTTTTGGCACCATTGCAGGTTGCAATCAGTGCTATGTGATGATGAAGAAGAATGCAGAAAAAGTCAATTCATATCATACCTCCACCCCACCCCCCACTGCCTTTGCATGGCAAAACACTGATTCACTTTTTTATTTGTGTTTCAGGGAAGGCCAACAATCGCCAGAACAGTGGCAGAAAATGTATGGGAGATGCTCCGGCAATGAAGTGTATCACATTAACCTGGAGGAAAGTGTGTTTTTTGCTGAATACGAGGGAAAGAGCTTCACATATGCATCTTTTCATGCACACAAAAAGTACGTTGCCAGTTTTTTTTTTAAACAATGAAATTATTTAATAGGACTTCCTCTCGGAAACTCTTGCTTTGGTCCCCTGGAAATGCACAGGGCTTCTTGACCTTGTGCTTGATGAACCATTGGATTCCAGCTGGGTAAAGGCTACAAGACTGGACTTGGGCATTTTGGAATCTTGAAATAGTGGCCATTCTCTAGATCTGATGCTGAACTCTTCATTCACAAAGAGAGAAATAAGGTTTAAACCCATCTGGAAACATTGGCACACTCCATCCCTATTCCCTCTGATTCCCTCCCTCTGATTGGCACACTCCATCCCTATTCCCAGCTGTGTGGAAGCTGACTGAATTACTTCCAAGGCCAAGCTAGATGAAACAATACTTTTCATTCAGAATATGGCACCATGTCCTGATTTTAATGGTCCCCTGTTGACTAAAGATCCATGCATTTGGCCCTCAACAGAAAATACAGGCTATTCTTTTGTCATTCTATATTCTAAAGCCATTCCCAAGCATGGAAAAAACTATTCAAAATCTGGTGAGAACTTCAATGTAGTAATGTGCCCCATTCTGAGGGGGCCTTCCTTTAGTTCTCCTCCACCCTCAGCTACATTACCAAACCATAGCGCAGCCATATCAAACTCCTTAGCTTGAGTTCCTTCCACTGTGTAATTTCTGGCCTCAGCTAGTGACTCTTTTATCTCATCATAGGCAACTAGCAGCAGCAAACCACAAACTTGCGATGGTGTTTATAACTCCCAGGGTATGGCTGGACAATTATCCCATTGTGTTTTGCACAGCAGTGCTTTGTTTAGGGCATTTGACTGAGCTCTCTTGCTCAGTAAATGGCAATTGGTAAGACTCATCCTATTACTTACACCTGAAAGACTGTTTCAAGAGCATCTTCTTCTGTTTACAAACAAGTATGGTAGTATTCTCCTCACCCTTTGGGAAAGGTTTTCCTGGTGCTTCCGTGCCGCCATGGCATGCTTTTACTTGGCAATTGCTTGTGTATGGACATGGTTGGATATGTTTCCAAGCATAACATTTCCATCTTATACTGTGGTGCCCAGAATGTAACATATATAAAATATAATAATGTTTTAAAAATCCTTTTAGGGGAAATGCAATCTTCTGTTTATCTATTATGGTTTATAAATAGATTCTAAGAACACTCTTCGGTGAGAAAAGTACATGAAATTAACTCTACTCAGCAATAATGGTACAATTTTAATGAGATGCACATCTTTTTGCAAGACAGCATTATTCTTCTAAAATTTTATGATCAGAAGGGGATAAGAGTTTTGTTTGAAAAATGAGGATAACATAGAAAAAATCTTACATTTTCCCTGTTAATGTCCCTTGAGATGCCATTATAATGCAGGAGCTGTGTTTGATCGCAAATAGAATTTGCGGAAAACTATTTCTGTATAAGTTTCAGATGCATGCTCATTGCATTGCAGGACTTCTTCAAAGGGCAGCGTATAAGGTATCCTAACTTGGCATCCTCTATTTTTGGAGGCTCATGGTGATCGCTTTCACTTCCATTGTCCTAATATATTGGATCCTACATGCATGTATTCAGAGCAACATTCTTTCACATTGTCCCTAAAAAAATGGTTTGCATATTTTATGGATGAAAACATCTCCTCTTTCTGCAACTAGGGGTGTTTATTTTTTGTATGTATGCGTGCTTATACATTTTACTTTGCCTCCCTCTTAAATGTGTCTCCTTTGCCCTGAATTGTGTTTTTGGAGGCCTTCAGGTTCAGCATAGATGCCTTTGCATCAACAACTAGCCATGTTAAAGAAAATGAAAAATGGCAGAAATTTGTTATTTAACCCAAAAGGAAAGGAAATCAATCCTAACAATGATGAAAGAACAATCAGCAAGAAGCAGGACAGCATGAGACTTTTGACCAGACCTATTGCCAAAATCCTAGTACACTTTAAATGAAGCAGATATTTTTGTGTTCCATTTCCAGCAGCTTTTTTTTTATTACACAAAAGCTGTTGCACATTACAACAAACAACACTGTGTAGTTTCCATGCTGTGTGTTTGTGTGATTTTTTTTTTTTTTTGGTCTTATGAATGATTAAGTGGCTTCTACACTTGCATAGTTTCTATGCTCCTCATTCAGTCCTCCCTCTCTTGGGATGTGTCCCATCAGCCACCGCTCAGAAAAGAGTCACCAGCCCAAAGTGTGACACTTCCTGGTATGCGGCATAACTGCACCCTCTCTTTGCTAATAGCAGTTTACCATGCCATAAATGTAGCTGTTCACACAGAACATGGCTAGCTTAGGGCCTCAGAAGACCATGATCCAGTAGGACAGCTACTCAACCAATGAGAAGGTTTGCTTGGTTGAAGGAGAACATGCCTCCTTCTTCATCACTGCACAGGTAAGGTCTTGTATGATAAAGGTGTTCAACATGGATGTTCAAGTTAAGTGACTCCCTTTCACAAAAACATGAGTGGGAGAAAAACTGCACATACTGGTGTTCATTCGAGGGAGTGGGTTTCTTATCACATAAATACTCTTGCCATCCCTATAAATAGGCCAAAAATATTCTTACATTGCAATCAGGTTCCCAAGCTTCCTTAATCGAGCAGTTGGTCAATGATATGGAATTGTAAAGAAAGGTATCTGGTAGTTGCTGCATAACAGAGATTTGTTCTTCTAGATAATTTTCTTAGCAAGTGTATTTCCTACAAGCAAAGAAAAATTCTTGCTCTTGGACTGAATTTTGTGAACGGGCAGAAGCAACCAGAGGGTTATTTTTAGTGCAGTGTATTTCTAGTTTGATTATAAATGAGCATGTAATACCCTGTGTTCTGTTCAGTTTTTGCTAATCACATTTTTTTTAATTTTAACTTTAAGGTTTGGTGTCTGTTTAATTGGTGTTAGGAGGGAAGACAACAAAAATATTTTGCTGAACCCAGGCCCTCGCTATATTATGAGTTCGTCAGACATATGCTTTTACATTAACATCACAAAAGAAGAAAATTCAGCTTTTAAGAAGCAAGAGCAGCTCCGAAAAAGTCACCCATCCAGATCATTTTATCAGGGTCCTTCTCGGTTGCCTGTCCACAGCATCATTGCTAGTATGGGTAAGCAGGAACATAATGTAATGGGACTGTATTAAGACAGGGATAAAAATGCAAGAAAATTAAACTGTAAGGAATCAGTTTGCATTTATAGCCTGCCTTTTTTTCTCTTGTGGGGAACCCAAGACAGCTTTCATACTTCCATTTTTATCTTTATAACAACCCTGGGAGGTAGGATAGGCTGAGAGTGAATGACTGGCACAAAGTGACCTGATGAGCTTCATGGCCAAATGAGGACTAGAACTGGCATCTCTCAGGTCCCCAGTCCTTCACTCTAATCAGCGCAGTGCACTGAATCTTCATGGGAAAGACATTTGGTAATTAATTATAAACAATTAACTATTTATTATACACATGGAAATTGTGTATATTTGATTGGTAAAACTGTTCGGTTTTCTTGGCATGTGTACCCATTACTTAAAAACTTCATTTCAAAAACAAGCAATTCTGGTTGTTTTGAGATAAGTTTAGGGTTACATTTAGAAGTGACAAAGCCTTTTTCTCAGAGCAGTGTATTACATCTTTTTTTAAAAAAACCCTTAGATTCCTATCCTACTTTTTGACAATGTCTTTTTTCCTTTCAAAATTGTTAAAATTGTTGTTCCTACTGCAGTCCACCATTATATGGTAAAATTTGCAAGTTGTGTTCATTAACATGACTACTTTCTTGTACAAACACAAAATATGAGGGAAATGTGGAATTTGACAAAAAGGGGATATTTTAATTTTCTAAGAACTTTTGAAGAGTGGGTGTGCATGTATGTGTACTGTCTTACCTGTTGTATGTAATCATTTTATATCATGTACAATATTGCATTTTAAAGGGTTTAAATCATCATAGCCTAACCAGAGAGCTTTGGGTTTTGGAGAACATAGAAATGAAATAAATGAATACCAATGAAATGACTAGTTTTACAAAGAAGTATCTTGTGACATCTTACTTTTCTTGGCATAAGTTTTCATAGGCTGGAGTCCTCTTTGATGTATTTCTCCACACCTCACCAGTCAGGTTCACTAAAACTCTCTGTGTAGTTGGGAAAAGTTGCACAGGAGCAGTGTTTTCCATCTTCATGGTAGGTTTATTTCCATCCATAGAAGCCCACCTGGAGAAAAAACTGCTTCAAAATACTGTAGAGTAGGTGAGGAGGAAGACATGGGTAGGGAAGAGGGGAAGACCATAAGGGAGGCAAGGTTTCCTCTTCCCATCATGAATTCATGACAACAAATCCAATCCTGTGCATGGATCTGCCACCATCACATCCAGCTTGGTCCTCAAACCTCATGATCGGGTATCTTGTCCCCGTTTTCACATTGTTAAAGGCAAAATGTTTTGACTTTTCTCTGCATTTCTTCCCAGGTACTGTGGCTATAGATTTGCAAGATACGGGCTGCAGATCTCCCAGTGGGCCTACGCTCACCCTTCCTTCAGAGGCAGGGAAAGCAGGCAGAAGACCAAGCATAGCTCCAGTCTTGGAGGTTGCTGACTCGTCAGCACTTCATGCCTGCGACCTCTTAAGTGACCAGTCAGAAGATGAAACAACTCCCTCAGATGAAGATGTTTCCAATGGCCTAGAGTATGTTCAGATGACATGCATAAGTTCATATATTTGAAAGGGCAAGGAAATGGAGAAAGGAAATGACATGTGGGTGATGGACCTCAGCAGAAGTCAAAGATTAATACTTCCCATCTGAGATTTATTGCCTGTTTCTCTCAGGATACTGCCTTGGTGCAAAAGGGTCGCATTCAAGAAAAGTGTGATGGAGAATAGGAAAAGTATCCCACTTTTAAAATTGATCTCATGGTATATAATTAGTGAAATTAGGAAAGGGAAGAAGCAAACCTGCCCACCCACCAGCCTGCCAGCCAGGCCAGTCACACATACATGCATTTATACAGTGGAACATGTAGTGTTCACTAGAAACTAGGCTACTTCTGACCTAGGAACATGGTAACTATTAGCTTAATTGATCTCCTTTTGGAAGTGAAGTATGTGCAGACTAGAAGGATATGGTGTTTATCATAAGGATAACAGAAGGAGAACAGTCAGCAGTCATTTGGAACAGGTGAGCAAAGAGGGATGATGGATATAGAGAATTCAGATTTGAGGTAAGGCCCAAAGCTGGAGGTTTCTTTTGGAGAGTCCAAAGGAAAGAGGATTAGATTGCAGAGACTGAGAGCTAATGAGGCCAAGGAGAAGACATTGGGACCAATAAAAGCATACGTGGCCTTTCAAAAGTGTATGGCGTTTACGGTTTTCCAGGTGGTTGTATTGTGGCGTTTGTGGGGCTGTTAAATTAGAAAGGAATGCTCTTCTTTGCTCCACTTAAACCATCTATGAAAGGAGAGGAGGTATTTAGACACAAGGGGAACCATGGTACAGAGATGTATTGTGGGATACCCTGAACTTAATAGTAATAACAACACTGGATTTTTCCTTGTTTTAGGTATCTGAAAGGCTATCCCCCTTACTCACCGTATATAGGAAGTTCTCCCACCTTCTGCCATTTGCTTCATGAAAAAGTGCCATTTTGCTGTCTAAGGTTAGATAAGGTAAAGTCACTGTTTATTCATGTGGACCACCAGTTGTTTTGGCAGAAAGCCCCATCAGCCCTTGCCTGGACAGCTGATGGTGAGGTATCTTGAAAGTTGTAAGCTAAAACCTCGGCAGGGCCTCAACTTGTCCACCCTCATGTCAAGATATGCAGAGCTTTTGCTATTTATTTGGTATATAATGGATACCTCCAGGCATGGTCACATTCTGGTAGCATAGCTGATCAAGCTCTGAGGAAGCACCGTGACTTCTGCCACATCTCTGTCAGGCCATCACAGTCATGCTTTTCTGAAGGAGGCAGAAGCGTCAACCTGCTAGTGTAAGGTTGATGTGGAATTTCACCCAAGAGGGCTTTCACTTCCAAATCTGGGCTCAGCTTTGGGGTTGTGTGATTCCTCTGTAAGCCATGGATTTTTAATTTTAATTTATTTTTTTTCCAGAAAGGGTATTTATCCAAGGGACTCAGAGTCTGCATTCCTTCATAGGACGTTCCTCCTGTAGGCCAGGCTATATGTATGCTTCATAGCCAGCCCTACAGGCAATTCTTAAATTCATCATCTGGCTTATTCAGCAGCTGATATTATATTGAAGATACTGCCTTCCTGGGGCATGCTCAGTGAATGGAGGTCATAGGTCCTCTTTGCTTCCTGCTTTCAGGGGTGCCAGCATAATTACTACGAAGATGCCAAAGCCTATGGATTCAAAAACAAAATCATTATAGTCGCTGCAGAGACTGCTGGGAATGGCCTCTACAACTTCATTGTGCCTCTCAGGGCTTACTACAGACCAAAGAAAGAACTCAACCCAATAGTGTTACTGTTGGACAATCCGTAAGTGGGCTTTAAAATGATGCTTATTCTTTATCACAGATTTGGATATTGATTCAAGAGGGCATGGCATGAGTTCTATGTTGTTGCTGACTAATTTATTAAATAATCGCTTTTAAATCAGAAATATAATGGCACCGATGCCTATATACCATCAGTTTTTAAGCACCCAAGGCCAAGCCCCTGTGCTATGCTGTAAGCTGGGTTGGCCCTACCATTAGAGCCACTGAGGCAGTTGCCACTGAGTGCTGATTCTGAGTGCCATGAAAGGGCAGCAAATGGTTAGTGATCTTATTTATTATAGTAACTCTGCGGCTGAGAAGGCGAAAAGGTCATGAACACAATGCAATGTAATGGTAGTGATGGGCTGGAATCATTTGCTGCTCCACTTCAGACAACAAAATTTATTTTCCAGGGCTAGCCCTCCATATAATTCTCTTCTGAAACCACGTCCAAGATGAAGCTAATTTGGACATAGTTGTAGCATGAGACATAACTATCATTTGTATTGCTGGATAACATCATCACCCATTCTTTGTTGACATTGGCCCCATGATCTCTAGTAGACCTCTTTCTGAATCTTCCTATCTATGAAATACTAATTTTGAAATGTCTTATGAATAATAGGTTCAGCTTCAGTTCTGCAAAGCTCACAGCACACTGGAATTCAGAATTTAGAATCACACTGCCCTCTAGTGCTTGCATGTTTTCTGTTTTGGGAACTTCAATTTTAAACACATCACTTTAAAAGCATCGTTTCATGTAGCTAAATCATATTTGCTGATTCCCTGTCTCTATCTCCTTACACTTTGCAGCAGTAACTTTTGTGTATCATTACTGTGATACACATGAAAGATTGTATACAACTTCCCCGGACATGGGTCCCCTTGTCCAGGGACAATAATGCAAATAGGAATTTCCTCCCTGTGAAATGCTTCTCCACCAAAATCCGGTGCAGAATTACTTATCGTCAAGTCCCATTGATTTCAACAGGATTCATGTGCACCAAAGTTTGGGCATTTTAAGTCATGTGATACAAAAGTTCTGCTATGCTGTTGGTCACTGAAGCTAATCCCAATGCGGTGTTGACTTGGGAAAGACTCAAATATTCTGCATTATTCACATGCAACCCCCAGTCATGTGAGATCACATCACAGAAAAGTGGCTCTCACAGAGTGCATGTGAAGGGTATGCCTGTTTAGATATCTTTGACACAGTATTTTATATACCATTGTGCTGTGCACTTCTGATATTTTAACTGTTTTGTTAGAAGCACCATTTTGTATACAATTATATTCATTTGGTAGTTGTCGCTCAGTAAAATCACAGTTATTAATGGTTATAAGGAGAGCGAATATTGGGAAGGAATAAATAGAATAAAGATAGTACTGATGGTATAATGAAGGAAGCATTCATCTTTCCAAGCACATGTAAAACTGTCTTTGAATTTATTAGTATTGAGAACATGTTGGTTGCCACAAAATTTTTGTGATGTTATCTTTCACTTTGTGACCCATCTGCTGCTTAGGCCAGATATGCATTTTCTGGATGCAATCTGTTGGTTTCCAATGGTTTACTACATGGTGGGCTCTATTGACAAGTAGGTAAAATAATCCTTGGAACACTATTGTATTGTGGTGTGGTGTGCGTGCCATGTACTTGCATGTACCTGTGTGATGCCAGTGTCTAAAAGGTTGTAAAATTGCATGTATATTTGTCCTCAACCTTCTGAACCCTCCTTGTGTTGCTAGTTTAGACTTTAAAAAAAAGAATCCTGGAATTGTACCCATGTATATGTATCATAATGTCTGCTTCTGAGGCCCAGAAGAAAACAATTTTAGCTAGTTTGGATCTTGTTCACATGCTGGGATCATGACTATTGCCCGATGGTTAGAAGTAGCCACAGGTCGCGTCCAACTTGTTGAGCTACCTTCAAGTTCATCCATTTCATTCTTGACAGACTGAAAGAGATGAGCTCCATCAGTTCACGAAGTGAATGGCCAATCTACGATATGGAAGACATGGGTTAGACATTTTAGGATAGCGCAGCTAAAGCTAATCATATGTGACTAAAGTTCTGAGATAGGGATGGTATGAGATTAGGAGAGCTAGAACCACCACTCCTCCTCTGAGTTTACTTCTGCCTAATTTTCTCTTGCACACGTGTGCACAAATTCAAAGGCTAGTCTTCATAACTATAGGATTTCATCAGCAGTGTTTAAGGTTAGATGTGTCCAACTGAAAAACTACCCAGGTTAAAAACACTACTATAGATGTAAGCAGTAAAAGTAACCCAGTGCAAACTCACAGGCCGTTCCTAAATGCCTGCTGGAACAAAAAGGGGTTAGCCTGCTTTCAGAAGCCTGAGAGGGAAAGCACCAACTTAGCCTCCCTAGGAAAAGTTTTCCAGGCCTTTACTGAAAGGCATTCTCCTATATTCCCACCAAGTATGCCTGTGAAAGGACCTGCCAAGAGAGGCTCATATGGGAGAATAATCACAATCTGTCATCATATGCAATATGCATCTTCTCCAACAGTCTTTGAGGCCAGTGTGCATCTTAACCTTGCTTTGTACAATATTCTGAGGAATATTGATAGTTCTCAAGAAACATTGGAGAATGTCCATAGCTCAGCATAATCTGATTATATTTGCATAGGTTGTCCATGCAGCAAGCATGGTCTCTGAGGAACCTTCAAGAATGTGCTGAATAACATAAGAAAGGAATTTTATACCTTGGTCACCCAGTGTAAATTAACTGCAAGCAGTATAACTAGTAACAGAGATTAACCTGAAGGGTTAATTCTGCACACTTGTGCCACATGCAAGTTTTACAGACTACACAACGTACAGTAATATTTTTGATTGCTTGCTTTCATGACAATTATGTGCAAGTAGAAAACTATCATTGGGTGGGTTGGGTATGAGAGGGGTGGCTAGGAATGGATTCATAGACCAGGAAAGAGGTTAGGTTTCTGTGCTTTTAGAACCTATGAGACACAAACATCACCCTGTTCTTAGCTTTTAGTCATCACCCTTTTCTCTTTTGGACGTGCTGTGTTTAAGGTCTCCTTTTCCATCAATTTTTATGGAGATTTAGTCACAGTTTCAACATGGCCTACTTCTCATTCAGGATCTTTGAGAACATTGCAGTGAGTGCCTGGAGATAGAGTCCAAGATTATACCTGCTGAAGGATGAAGAAATAGAGTCCAGATGGGAGAGAGTAGATGGGACTTTTCAAAACATTGGGGATATGCTGAATTTCCCCCTGCACAAAAAAATCTGCAAGTAAAAGCCCTTTTGCACAGAGTGAGAGAATCCTTATCCTGTTGCACATGGTTTTCACACAGGCAAGCAATTAAAAATAACTGCTACTTACTGGGTGAAAAGGAACAACCCAATCTTGTTGCTTATTTCATTTATTACATTTCTATACTGCACAGTAGTGGAAATCTTCTATTATTT